TATTGGATTCTCACTGTGAGGGAAAGTTTCCTCCTCAACGTGTACGCATTTCTCGGCAAAGCTGACGTTGTACTTTTGTCCAAAAGTTGCACTCTTTTTAACACGGAGGACTTACTTATTACATCATATTGCCATAAATTCGTACCTTATCAAACTGTCGTCACATGTGTCGTCGTCATCATCTAAACTACTTCCTAATCCCAATCAATCCTATTTGTCCTTCTTTCCTGCGGATGTATGCACTTTTACAAAATTCAAATATTAATGATACTCAAATGTTGCATTGTCCTTTCCATTATTTACCACTACACTTAGTCAACTACTTGCTTATACAGTGGCCGCGGAAGCGTGAGGACAATGTCCCCACGGTTGTTCGATGTCCGCATCATCTCCCTATCTTATAAAAACCCAGCCCTCCCCCCATCCTACAATGTTAACGTCCCCACACCCTTCCGCGGCCACTGTGCTTACCTACTTTGTTGTGGGAAGAGAGAAAGTCAGGCTGGGAATTATATATTGAAAAAGAAAGAAAGTAGTCTTCTTAACCACGATAACTCAAAGATGAAAACGACCAGAACGACTCTCGGATTCCTGATTTTTAAGAGTCCGGCTCCCAGCATTAAGCAGTATCAATGAATAATTTACAAAGGGCTCAACAACCCTGCGTCCCAGTAATAAAGCAGCCCCAGTAAGTCGTCTCTGTTCAGATTAAAGGATGAGAACAGACGACGACGACGGAGAAGAAGAAGAGATTGCGATTACGACTCGAGGACATGACGGGCTGCGATGTCAAACAAATAAATAATATGAACATTGTGTTATTGGTGGAGGCGATGATACATAACTGCGCGTCTAGTCTGCCCCTTTTTCAAATATTTGCATTCTTTATCTCATAAAAAGTGCAGAGAGAGAGAGAGAGACAGCGCTCTGTCAAGTTTACATTTTCTCTGAAACTTCTACTGAAATATAAATGATCTCTTGTTAATCGATGGATGAGAGGAAAAGTAGAGTGGCTTCACTTTGATGCTCATAATACTACTCGTTCGTCCTCCTCCTCTTTTGCTTACGTATAGTTAACAAGAGTCCAAGCGACGTTAAGTGGGGGAAAGACGGTGCTATTACCATATACATATGTACACATGTACACACGCCATGACCAGTGACCGCGGACAGAGGGACAATGTCCTCAGGGTTGTTCGATGTCCGCATCATCATATAAACCCGGCCCTTCCCCCCTTATCCTACAATTTTAATGTCCCCACGGGTCCTTCCACGGCAGGTGTACACACGCCATGACTTTCCCCATAGACAGAGAAGCCTAACTATTTGATCATACGACGACTCCCGTGCACAAAAGTCTAATGCACTTTGACCATCAACTTTTATTTCTAAACAGGCAAAAAATAGGTGTTTTATCAAATGCTTCGTGAGTCAAAACCGTGGAGGAACCAATTTCATCTCTTCTTTTTTTATCTAGAAATAAAATCTATTTTTACGCAAGGATGAAATGCATCAAGTTTTATATGACATTCTTATGCGACGTTTAATTAGATGAAAAACTTATTCGCAGAATTCATTGATTTTTATTTTGCATTTATCTCCTCCTTCGCCCACTCCTCGTTTTCTGCAATTGTAGGAAAAAAAGTGTTGCTAAAAATCTGCCCTAATTGATCACAACCATTTCGAGGAACTTATTAAAATATCAAACACAATACAAAAGTTTTTATTGTGACGATTTTTTTGGAAAAGTTGCACAATATTTTTTCCCCGTCTCACTTTTCATAATCTCATTTTTCGGATGAGTGGGAGTGAGAGTGAGGAGAGAGCAGTTCAAGATTTAGCGACTTGTGCGTATGACTCGTATTAGTTACTCAGCTTTTTAGTGAAATCACTCAAAATCTTCACAGTTTCCGAACCTATACGAAAAATTAATGCACTAATTGTTTCACGGTCAATTGGTAAACACTATAAAAATAAACGTTCGCTCGAAATGATCCCCGGGTGCGGGAGAATTACTGAAAACTTGTCCAGTGTTTGTGTCCATCTGCCTGGGGAGGGTAGTTGCAGAAATAAATCATTTATTCCTCAATGGTCTTAGACCCTCCTAGCTCTTATTACCCAATAACAGTAAAAAAAAAATAAAAAAATAAAAAAAATACCGCAAAATAAAAAAGCCTAAAAAAAATTTAAAAAAATAAAAAAACCCCAAAAACGCGCCTCACGGTGCGAAAAACAAAATCAAAAGATAATATTTCCTATACAGCAAAACAACAAAGCTTTTCAGCACTGATTGACTTTTACGGAGACTTTTTTTTAATTTGCAACATTTTCCCCGATTACCAGGAAATTTCGCTCAACTTTCAAGTTTCGCAAGTCCTCTTTTTTCCAGGTGTTTGGCAAATGCAATTAAATTTTTCACACTTTTCCTCCTTTTCCGAGTAGTGGTTGACTAAATAAAACTCTCGTAAAAAAAAGGTTCGTTAAATAATTGCCTTGATGGATTTGGACTTGTTTTTCCTTCCAGCTTACACTTTTTTTTTACTTTTCAAATTAGACAAGCCCCTCTCTCTCTCCGTATTTGCTATCATCGCACTTGGCCGCAACAGTGGCCGCGGAAGTAAGTGTGGGGACAGAGGGACAATATCCCCACGGTTGTGCGATGTCCGCCCCTCTCTCTGTATTTACTATCATCGCACTTGGCCGCGGAAGGACAGAGGGACAATGTCCCCACGGTCCGCATCATCTGCCCATCTTATACAAACCCGTCCCCCCTCCCCCATCCTACAATGCTAATGCCCCCACACGGCTTCCTCCTTCCGCGGCCACTGCTCTTTTTGGTGCTGCAGTTTCTCCGGACTTTTGCATCCACAACACAGCCGGAAACTTTTCCCGGAATGGACGTCATTACATCCTGTCAATCACCCAACAAGTTCAAGTTGTCACTAACTTTCACTGCGGGCGGGGATGAGGAGGGGACGTGATGCGTTGCAAATTTGCACAACAACCTACTTATTCATGCCGTAGGACTTTTTAGACTTATTACACAATTTGTTATTTCTCCATCCATGTTTATTCACTTGATGGATAGAGTGCAAACAAACTATCAACAAAAAAGACGGACGGATAGAAAGTCGAAACTTTCCTGGAAAAATAAAAATATGCAACAAAATTATATTTCTGCTCGTGGCACTCGAGGAACATCTAGAAATTTGGCGACGACGAGGAGGGATCCCGGAATATCTAGAAATTAGTCGTCCTCGACGACGACGAAGGATCGCATGTAGCGTCAATCAGTCGAATCAAATTGGTATTTTTTCTACTAACAAAAGTCTCCCAAAATTAACCATATGATGACACGAGCGAATAATGGCTTCTGTAGATCACCAATTATTTTGTTTTCTTGTGCGGTTCAGGAACAGTGGCAGCGGAAGGATAGAGGGACAATGTCCCCACGGTTGTTCGGTGTCGGCATCATCTCCCCATCTTATACAAACCTGGCCCTACAATGTTAATGTCCCCGCACACCTTCCGCGGCCACTGTTTAGGAAGAAGACATAGATGAAACAGAATAAATGATCCCAATTGGAAATTTCCCGTCCTTTTTTGCAGAGCTGGGATAATCCTGATTAAGGATTATGGATTTTAATCCCGGATTATGGATTATTAATCCATAATCCCTAATCCGGCAATGTGAGTTTTTTGTAGATTAATCCCAATCCATAATCCCGATTTTTCTGGAATTAGAATTAATCCGGGAATAATCCCATTTGATTTCATTAATCCATAATCGTGATTACGGATTACTAATCCTGATTAATCCCAATCATGATTACTAATCATGATTATTAATCCAGATTAATCCCAATCATGATTACTAATCATGATTATTAATCCAGATTAATCCAAATCATTATTACTAATCATGATTGCGTATTCATGATTAATTCTCAATCTGGATTACTCACAATGGAGAGGTGTCAGGTGGTTATCGCCAATGTGGACTGGACTAATTTTAAATTGTTCAGGCCCAGAAATAAGCCCACCCGTATTTTTTCGTTTTCCTGAATGGGCATATTTACGCCCGTGGTGGAATTTTCAAAAAAAATTTCAGCCAAAATCCTGATTTTTAAAAACGCTTAACTTTTCGAATTTTAGCCCGATTTCAAAAATTGAATACAATTTGTGTTCAGAATTACTTCCCTGCAAATATAAAACTTCATTTTCAAAAAATTTTTAATTTTCAAAAAATTATCGTTTTTTTCATTTCTAAAAACTCAGAAATGGCATGAAAATATTAAATTTAAAAAAATTTTGAAAATGAATTTTTATATTTGCAGGGAAGTAATTCTGAACACAAATTGTATTCAATTTTTGAAATCGGGCTAAAATTCGAAAAGTTACAGCGTTTTTAAAAATCAGGATTTTGGCTGAAATTTTTTTTGAAAATTCCGCCACGGGCGTAAATATGCCCATTCAGGAAAACGAAAAAATACGGGTGGGCTTATTTCTGGGCCTGAACAATTTAAAATTAGTCCGGTCCACATTGGCGATAACCACCTGACACCTCCTCATTGTCAGTTCAATTCCCATAGTTCCATTCATCCCACAGTGTAGGAAGAAGTCTCAAGTTCTCACAATGTTATTCTGTCAGCTACCATTTTAAGAATCAACATGTTCTCACTGCCCTGTGCTACATACATATATCAATTGAAACTGGCGTCATTTTTATGTAAAACCACGTAGTTGAAATTCTTTGCGCTAGATATAGTGTAAAAATCATTAATCACCAAATTAATCCGGATTATTAATCCATAATCCATAATCCCGAAATTTTCAGAATTTATGGGTTAATCCGGATTAATCCTGACATGAATTAATCTCACGAAAATAATTTAATCACAATCCATATTGTTTTGTGGTTAATCCATAATCCTTAATCCACCCTCAAAAACCAATAATCACCCAGCTCTGCTTTTTTGTGCCAACGAGACCACAATTATCCAATGAATGATCTTTTGATTGCAGAAAAGCCATACAAGAAAACAACTTTATATTTACTTACTTACTGTCGTCACGATCGTTAAAATTGCCTCGTTTAACGTCTCTTTCCCTATTTATTTTTCAGCATCAAAGTGAATCATCAGTTACTTATTGTACTTGATATTCTATCGCAAAAGAGAGTAATTTTCGGATAATTTTTATGTCGCGAAAATTACGCGATGATTGCATCTCATTGTGCGAGAGGAAAGTTCCATCGTACAATTAGCCTGGCTCGGAACTAATAATGACTTGTTTGTGGTTTCTTTAATTTACACGTTAGCCGGCGAATGATTAAACATACAGATTGCGCGAGCGGTAATTAAATTATCTGGCGGAAACTGACGGAAACTGGAGAAAATTAGAGTCACTTATCGAATTCGACGGATTTGCATTCCACGCCACTACTGCGTCACTTCACTCACCCATCCAACGATCCATGGCATAATCACGGAAAGTAGGAGAGAGCAGTGGCCGCGGAAGGGGGGGGGCATTACCATTGTGGGATTGGAGAAGGAGAAACTTCTTAACACGATTTCCCTGAATTTCTGGGGGGATAGTGCCCCCCTGTCCCCTCTCTTCCGCGGCCACTGTACAGACAGAGAAGTAAATCAACATCCCAAATCAACTTTACGCTTTTTACCTACTCCTCCAAATGCAATAAAGGTTTAAACTTGGGCAAAACAACGGCGTCGTAATCGACCGTGAATTGCTCAGCCTTAAGGTGCCTTTGTACTTGGCAACTTGCGCCATAGTTAAATTCTAAGATTGGCGAAAGTTAGTGAGGGGAATGCAGTATTTAGATTGAGTTAAAGTTAACGTTTTGAATACTGCTTTCGAATACAAATGTGTGACCTTTTGGCGACCATGATGATGACAAAGTTTTACCTATTTCTACCCGGGTAACTCCACCACCGACAAAGTTTACAGAGTCGTAAAGTACCATCTCCTCAATCAAGTTTAAATAAAAAAAAACGTGGATTTTTTGTATCCTTCACAGCTCGAGGGACTCCTCTTATGCCACGAAATGTATGGAATGGTCAGTTCTGATCACACTCCGAGACCCAGAAAGGAGCCGCAGCAGCAGCAGCAACAACAACAACACGGCGGCGAGGGTCGGAGTAGAAGCCACAAGTCGATATATGGACGCGTCGTAGGTTTTATGAGACAAGCCTGGACTGGGGTAAAGTTTGCATTGGGTAAGTCATAAAATAAGCAAGCACTCTGGTGAAGAAAGCAGCGGAAGTGGCCGCGGAAGCCGTGGGGACATCGGGGGACATTAACATTGTAGGATGGGGGGAGGGCCGGGTTTATATAAGATGGGCAGATGATGCGGACATCGAACAACCTCTCCAATTTCGACAACCCTCTGTCCCCACCCACGCTTCCGCGGCCACTGGTCGAGAGAAAGCCATGCAATGGAAACCACCATCTTACTTTATATAAATCCAATCTTGTCTCTTTTCAAGATTTATGGATTTGTTGTCTCATAATGCTCGCACGTCTTGTAGTATCGACTCGTAATAAGATAGATAAGCCCACAGACTAATCAGTCCAGTCCATGTGCGTTCAATGGTCGTACGTAATTATGATGTCGACTTACTTAATTAAGGTACTTTAATTCCGAGAGAGACTTGAATCATTACTGACGTTGAGTGCGTACATACGTCCGCCTCCCAGATTCTTTTCATGGAAAATACTTTCAGGATAAGTTCCCTTTCTGGCTAAAAAGGGAACTTCGACAGTTCCATTTTCAATGAGCGAACCAGTCTCGAGACTCCCATTGAGAAATCAGCGAGTCGTCCAAAATTTCTCGACCCAAGCTTTTTGTTAGTGATCGCTGAAAGCTGTTTGTTTTCCCAGAGATTCCACCAACCTCCTAAACTCACCCATAGGTCCCATTCAACTCCGTCTTTTCTAATTAGACTTTGCACTCACACAGTTTGATTGCTCGAGAGAGAGAGAAAAAAAAGTTTACTCTCGAGCAGAAGAAAGCGAGGGGAACACTACAATAATTGCGCTGCAAGAGTTTTTTTCTCTGAAAAAAATATGAATTTACTTCTTTTTTACTATTCATTCATACGATTTTCTTAACAATTTGATGGGGATGAAATTGACAATGGGCTTATCTTTACAGATCCTGACCTGGATGACGTCGAAAGTCCGCCGCGCTACAGGCCGGAAAGTGTCAAAGCGCTTTGCAAACTTACACGCTTCTCGGAGAATGAGATTAAGCGGATATATCGCGGATTTAAGGCGGAATGTCCTTCCGGTGTGGTGCAAGAGGATACTTTTCGTGATATTTATGCCCAGTTTTTCCCACAAGGAGGTGAGTGAAAGGAGTCGGACTTTCTCCGGATTATAAAAATTTGAGCTTATCATAATTGTATTTTACAGCAAACACAAGTCATTACGCGCATTACGTTTTCAATACTTTGGACCAAGGAAGAAGTGGGCTTTTAAACTTTGAGGTGAGCATATCACGTCTCCTACATAGAACTTTCCCCAAAATGTAGCATGTCCCAATACATATGAGATGAGTGAACGTCAAATTGGAGAAATTCTGCAATCTCACCACACGAAAATAATGTGCAGCCCATAAATTCCTGTGGATTGTGTCACCAGTCAAAATTGAAAATTAAAGGCATTCATTGTCCAACACATGGTCCTTTCCTCGTTCGGTGCCAGTGGCCGCGGAAGGACAGAGGGAGGACAATGTCCCCACGGTTGTTCGATGTCGGCATCATCTCCCCATCTTATGCAAACCCGGGCCTCCCCTATCATCCTACAATGTTAATGTCCACACGGCTTCCGCGGCCACTGTTTGTTGCATACATTCCCAGTCCGTAATCGTCCGTCCGTTGGTGCTGGTTGGTGCATGCAACAAATAACTTTCTCCCAATATCTACTGCCATCCCTTTTGTGGTTTTGCATTTGTATCCTTCCTGCCAAGCAGCACGTGCGGTGCAGATCGCTAATATTTCGCAACTCTCCTCCAACAGTGACCGCGGAAGCTGTGGGGACATTAACATTGTAGGATAGGGGAGGGTCGTGTTGATATGAGATGAGGACATGATGCGTACATCGAACAACTTTGGGGACATTGTTCCTCTGTCCTTCCGCGGTCACTGTGGCCCAAACCCACGCATTTGATACATAAAACATTCCCTTTTCAATTCAGTCATGACGGTTTTGCTTAATTGTGGTGCAGGACTTTGTGATGGGTCTCTCTGTCCTTTCGCGAGGCACGGTGGACGAAAAGCTGCGCTGGACCTTTAACCTCTATGACATCAACAGGGACGGCTTCATCACGAAGGAAGAGATGAGGGACGTCGTCACCGCGGTGTATGAACTCATGGGTTCCTGTGCCGAACCCAATTTCGAAGAAAGTGTCGTCAACGATCGAGTCGAGCGAATTTTCATGGTGAGTTTGTTTACATTAGGGCGTGCAAAATCGGAAGATTTTTTAAAAAACGGGGTTTTCGATTTTTCCAGTTTTTCAAATTTTCGTAAAACTGGTTTTCGATTAATCGGAGTTAGGAAACCGGTCTTCCATTCTGCGCAAAACCGATTTTAAACCAGGTTTTAAAATCGGTTGTAGTGCAAATTTTCAAAAGTTTGAAAATATAGATAATAACCAAAAACTTAATACAAAATTAAGAGTAAATATAAGCTTGGGATTAAGGAATTTCAGAACAATTAAATCAAAAATAAGAAACATTAAGTATTAGCTCTAAAAAAGCTTGTTTTATTAAAAATCGACACCTGGTTTTCGACTATGTAAAAACCAACTGGTGTTTGGAAATTTGTAAAACCGGTTTTCGGAAAATCTGTTTTTCCGATTTTGGATACCCTACTTTACATACGCATTTTTTTTATTTCTTGCATAACTTTTTTATCTCATTTCTCTGACTCTTCCAGAAAATGGACCAAAACCGAGACGGAGTTGTGAGCATGGAAGAATTTTTAGTAAGTTGTACCAAAGATGAAACAATTACTCGCTCCATTTGCGTGTTCGACTCCGTGATTTGAAAGAAACTACGCTACTTACTACGGGCCCATACTGTTCTGCATGTGCACTCCGGTTCAGGGTGCACCCTTTGTTCCAGAAATATTTTTAAAACGCCAGACTACTCAAAATTGGATAAGGGAGCGAAAGAGAGATCTATACATACATACACAAATTTGATTTATTTATACATGGAATATCTCGTCCAAAACAACAATTCTTATTTATGATGATGATGATGAGCGAAATAAACACAATGTGATACATTGTCTGAATATTCATTCCGATTTATCATGGGAATTTTCATTTTAAAAAGGTGCATTGGATTTATGACTCGTTTCATGCCTACATAAATGCATAGCTTATCTGTACACTGATATTCTGCCGTGGTTGGTGTGTATGTATGTACATAGTTAAGGGTCCATTGCATGAGGGATTTGAATTTCAATTTTTGTCTCAACTTTTCCTTCTTATCCAATTCAAATGAAGATTTTAAAACGTGTTCATCTCCGTGCGTTTTTTTTAAATAAGATTTTATTTCATCTAAAAATCGAGGTTTACAAAGTTAGAAGGGTAGAATTTTGATTTTTTTCGTACTATTGTTTTCTATTTTCACATGGAAGAAAAAAATCAAAATTCTAACCTCCTAACTTCGTAAACCTAAAAATTATCGATTTTTGGATGCAATCTTTATTTTTTAAAAACCACATGGCTATGAACAAGCTTTAAAATCGCCATTTGAATACATCCAAGAAGGGAAAGTTGAGACTCACAAATTTAAACTCCGACCCCGCATGCAATGCCCCCTTAATTACGTATTTTACGTATAATAAATTACCCCCGTAAATATAATCTTGGACAAAGTTTCCCATATAATAATCTCCCTCGTCAATTCGCAGCTTGAAGAGTGGGACTAGTTTGGAGGATCAAATGCCCTTTCCTTTACTGCTGCTGGGACTTAGCTTGCTTAAGATTAATCGGGCAAGATGCAATGAAGGATTAACATGCTGCGTAGGGCTATAAGAACATGATACTTATCACCAGTGGCCGCGGAAGCCATTTCGTGGGGAAAGTAAAATTGTAGGACAGAGGGGAAGGGCCGGGTTTATATAAGATGGGGACATTGTCCCCTTGTCCTTCCGCGGCCCCTGCTTATCACGTACATACACATACACCACGAAATCCTAAGGTTGAGGTCGTCCTTCCTTACAGAGAGGCTGAGCTTAAAATGAGCAAATGGATTCATCTCGTCGTCGTTAATGAAATAAATTGAACATGGCTCGTCATCATGTTCTGCTTCTTCTTCTTCTTGAACATGCCAGATTGGGGAAAGTAAAGTAAAGGATCGAGTAAAAAAATGCGTCGTGGAGAAATGCTAAGAAATGCTAATGCTATTACAGACACCATTCAAGTCGACAGCTTTATTTTCTTGTTCTCTTCTTCCGTTCTCCTTAACTTTTTAGATTTGCATTCATTTTACCAAAATCATGTACATATGTATATCTTTAAAATAGTTAGGTTAGTGATACTTACTTATTGCCTACGTACTTTTTTAGCCTAGATTTTTTCCTTAATATGTAAAATCATCCTTAACACTATTACCCCTCTGCTACATAGATAAACTGCTGTACAATTTGTAAAAGGTGAGTGAAACAGAATATTAAATATGTACAAGAGAGTTCTAGGAAGGTGGTCGTGGTGGCAAACAGTGACCGCGGAAGGGTGAGGGGACAGAGGGACAATGTCCCCATGGTTCTTCATCTCCCCATCTTATATAAACCCGTCCCTCCTCTATCCTACAATATTAATGTCCCCACAGCTTCCGCGGCCACTGGTGGTTGGTAGAGGAAAAATCCTGTTATAACATTATGCAGTAAATAGAATTTTAATGGATGGATGGATGGATGGAACTGGATATTTTTGACATAGTGGGGAGTGACGTGTTGGGGGGAGGGCTGATGAAATTACGGGTAACCCGTTCTGCCAGAATCACCGAAAAACGGTGTTTTCATGGATGCACTTCTCGCTAATGAAGTCGCCGTTGAAGAAGAGTGGTAAAAGTTGGTTGTGAGACGGGGCGAATAAGTGACAGACTTCCCGTTCGATGAAGATATTAGTGGCGGCAGTGGTGGTGGGGGGACGTATAGGTTGTGGTGGTTGACATTCTGATGGGGGGGATACTGAATATTGTGATGGGGAGGGAAATGCTGCTGCTGCTTTTGGGGGGAACCTCTCTTTTGACTAAACTGACTCTGTAGCGTGCCACGATCCGACAGAGTAGTAAATATTGTAGAAATTGATCCACCATAACCCGGTGGAGGTCCTTCGCCACCACTGCCAGGTTTAAGCGTCTGTTGCTGCTGCTGCTTCCTTTTTGCAACTTTGCTCTGCTGACTAATCGTATTTAATTTCGGGATAAAGATTGAGAAGAGGAGCACCGTTGCTGTTGTGATGAAAGCTGCACAGGCCGCAGGCTCTTGGAAATTTGCGGGCCCCACCTGCACCACGATGGCCCACGCTACGGCGATAGGAAGGCTCAGACAAGACGCGAGAGTAATCTGTAAACGGAGTAGGGGGATCAAATTAGAGGAAATTAGCATACATTATACATATGTACGTAGGAGATGATCCTCATCTTGTAATCATGAGCAGTGGTCGCGGAAGTGTGGATGGAGACAATGTCCGCACAGTTGTTCGATGTCCCCATCTTATATAAACCCGGCCCTCCCCTATGTTAACGTCCCCAGATGTCCCCACGGCTTCCACGGCCACTGATCATCAGCACATCCTGACAAGTCACAAGACATTAAATATTGATAACTTGCCCATTTAGCTTCGTTGTAATTCCTTCGGATTTTGAGGACAGAGAGACCATAGACAAACACGACGGAAATAAGGACGCCCAGGTAGGAGTGGAGATAGAGGAAGGAGTGATGCGAGTAAAAGCATTCCTGGATTAGCGGCTGTTTATACGATCCCGACGACATGACTTCCACCCTAGTCGGAAAGGTTTCCTCGTGTGGGCCAAAGAACCACTGGACGTTCACCGCAACCTGGACGGCCACGATGAAGAGGAGTGTGACAAACTGGTTCAGGGCGGGGACACGTCCCCCCAACCCGAGCGAGACCAGGGATCGAAGTTGCATCGCTTTCAGCATCAGAATTCCAAAACAGGTGGCGGTCGCGATTGAGGGTAAAAACACTTTGAAATTGCACAGCACGGATCCAGGTGGGAGGACGAAGAGGACGACGCTCGAGTAGATCATGATGATTCCGAGGAGGAGTAAAATCCCTAAGATTTGATTCCCTCTGAAAGAAAATATGAGATGATAAGTTGTTGATATCAGTGACCGCTTATTATATTTCTTCTATGCACCTCAGAGTCCCGTCACACATTCGTTGTAGGACATAGACCAGCATGTACAGCGAGATAAATACGCCCGTAATCGACACGGCGGTCGCAATCATGGCCCACATTCGAGAAATGTACAGTTCCGGAGGGGACATCATCCTCCGCACGTTCACGGCAGCCATATCCGTCGTTCTCCCTTCGCCAAGAAGCTTCTCCTGACCACCAGTCTTGGCTGTTTTTCCGCGTCGCATACTGATCTTTGTGGCCCCTGGCTTTTCAACATTGACCGTCGCTTCGGTCCCCTCGACCACGCCGTCCTGCATGCTCGTCCCACCCTCAAGCTTGACGCCGACCATGACGTCCAAAACTAGACCATCTTCATGCGTATACTGTCCAATCTGAAATTAATTAGAAATGAAATTAGTCCCGTATTAGACATCCAGTGGCCGCAGAAGTGTGTGTGAGGACAGAGGGACAATGTCCCAAAGATTATTCGATGTCCCCAAGATAATTCGATGTCCCCATCATCTCCCCATGCTATACATATCCCGCCCTCCCCTATCCTACAATGTTAATGTCCCCACATGTCCCCACAGCTTCCGCGGCCACTGTCATCACTTGCTATATTTACCTTTGATAACTTCCCATTCGCCCTGCTCAACAGCAAGTCGTACTTCCTACTGATCAACTTTCCATAGTAGTTGATTCGTCGTTGCGTCCCCTCAATTTCATGACTGCTCGAAACCGTTGACTCCGTCGTGCTGTCTGACGCGTCCTGTTCTTCGACATCCTTCGCAGGTAAGTTCAAGCTCCTCAGAGCGGCGAGGACTTCGTCGGACAGGTCCGAGTTATCCGTGCTGTTCGAGCTGGTAGCATTATTACAGGATAGTTGAGCCAATCGCAACGCGGCAGAGTAGGCGGACACGGCGTTCACGATGAATCCAATCTATAATTCAATTCAGAAGATTAAGCAATTAATAGAAACGAGCAAATAAATTATTTTCATAATAAATTAGAAATACTAAATTACATATGTACGATTAAGTGGAAAATTCTAGATACTCAACTTTTTTCACGATGCAATCAATATGCAAAAGTTATTAAATTATTGATGTAAAAGAGTAATAAAAAAGTGATCCTTATCAGCATTATTACTGATTGACTGAGCATATAATAAGACAGCATATATATTATTCAGTGGCCGCGGAAGGACAGAGGGACAATGTCCCCACGGTTATTCGATGTCCCCATCATCTCCCCAACTTATATAAACCCGGCCCTCCCTTATAATCCTACAATGTTAAAGTCCCCACAGCTTCCGCGGCCACTGATCTTATTGTACATTGTGTACTCACACCGTGGGAAAAAGTGAACCTCTTCTAATTGCATAACACTTTTACCTCAAGTTCTACTCACAGCAAGGTTTTTACATTTTATCAATTATCGAAAGTCACGAGTTGCGACTACCGCACTACGTCGTCCCATACAACAATAGAAGATAAGAATGATGACTACTACAAACTTACGTCTGATTCTGGGTGCAGCTTCTTTAACAACATTGTTCTCGTGAGGGAGCTGCATTGTGGAATCAATGGGTTATTGAGACGCTTCTTATTCGTTTTCGAGTCCTGACAGTGGTACATGGATTCCATATATTGGACGGCTTCCTTGTTCCCATTTGATGGCATTGTGGCCTGTGAATTACTCCAATTTAGATTAATTCTGCTCAACAATTTTCCTATTATGCAGTTTTGCTATGATGGCTAAATTCAGTAGCACTACCAATTTAGCCAAGGCTTAATAACAACTTGATTTTATATACCATGAGCTTATCCACGAAATACGAGTGGAATTCTGAATTGATCAAAGTCCTTGGTTGCATTGTGAGTAGATTAACTTGAAACTTGGAACTCCAATCCTTTACGAGATCATTATCCATTCCGACAGATCCAAGAATCCATGATTTCTGTCCGACTAGCTTTTGAAATCGCTCCACAGATTGGGCATCACTGTCTCCCACCAAACTTTCCAGCTCGGTGGACTCCAACAGCATAATCACGCTTTGAACGGTGCTCTAATAAATAATTTGTGAAGGAATATTTGCAAAAATATCGTGCCAATTATTATGGTAATTAGTTTTTCAAAAAACGTACGGCTTGTCCTTCGAGAAATTTTACGATGTCCATCAATGTCGGGAGGTTGTCTTTCTGGATGAGAAACGCACTCTTCGCATTGATCGAGAGAGGAGTCGCCAACCGTTGAAATTTCTTAATGGCTTGTGCACTTGAAGAAATAATTGCAACGTTTTGTGCCCCCAACTGGTTGATCAGGGCCACGATTCCCTGCAAATAAATGCAAATTTATAGTAATTTCGCTCCCGTTATTTTAAATTGTCTCACGCATAAATAATTGTAATTAAATAAGTTTAAATACCTCAGTAACGCCGGAGAGGTCGGGCGCCGTGGTGAAGACGTTCGAATGATTCGTCAACATTAAGCCGGCTGCCTTAGAAAACGTGACGATTGCCGAAATATTTTCATTATTCAAGTTTTCCAATGGACTGTCAATAATTCGTTCATTGTTCAAACTCCCAATCACGATTACTCCTAAGAAGAAAATAAAATTAGCGTGCAAATTTTGGCTTAAAATTATTGATTGACTTTGCCATTCATGATAACTAATTACGAGCTAGATAATTACCAATGAGCGGCGTTTGAGGGTTATCCTTGGACCATTTGATAAGTCGTGCCGCTTCTGAGGATGCGATTCCACTTTCTCCACAAGTGTCATGGACAAGAAGGTCTGTCAAAGTCAAAATAAGTCAGGTTTTTTAAGTTAAAATTGATTTATTGCGCAGTCAATAACAATAAAGTCATGTTTTATTTAAAGTTAACATGGATTTATTACGATAAGAACTTACCCAACGAAAATTCCCCTGGGTACGAGTTGTTATTAATGATTTCCACCGCCCACTGGACCGCACTGAGTTTCTGGTACGAGTGAACATTTAATGGACCACAGACCGATTTTCGGTCTGCATTCCGATCCCCGCTGATCGGCTCGTGTAGATCCACCAGGACACCTGAAAACACGGTTAATTAGTGGTAATTACTTGGTATTCATGCCACCGATTCAAGTACGTACCAAGTTTTGCACTTTGCAAATGTGCCGAAACGTTGCCCCACAGCAGACCAAAGAGCAGCAGGATGCTGACCACTTTCCTGCCGCGTCTTCCCGGTGGCCATTCCACCATGGACTTGGATGGTGAAAATGTCATCGTGTCCTTTTAGTGTCACATCTAAATCAAATCAAAAATTTTGATATTTTAAAAATTTGTTGTTGATTAAAATTTTTTTTTGAATTATTAATATCAAGCTTGATTTCTAAAAAAATCTTGTTTGTTACTGACAATTATTATTCTGACAGGAGAAATTACAAGCTACAATCTTCCCCGACCTACTGTTCTCCTCATGATGAGTTTTCATTTCAAATTTTCCGTTATTTTAACACGTATCAGCTATTTTCAGCCCCGATTGTTCCCCACATAACATAACACAAAGGAACAAATTACTCCACACGTACGTTACATAAAGACAAACAGACTATGAAATTAATTACATCACGCTTTACACAATTTATCATCGTATCCATCCATCCATCCGCAATTTCACACATGGTAAACAAAATCTTAATTAAGACGAATACATACGAAACCAATAATCGGCTTCCATCAATCAAACTACGGAACATTGTTCTTCTTCTTCTTCCTCCTTTCCACAACTTCTTTTTAGGAAATCAAAAAAACTCGAGTCAAATAATTCTCTAATTTCGAGGATTACCCACGAATCACGTACGTACCCGCAAAGCATGCAGCCTAAATTGTCGACTGAGGAGTGTTTCCTAGTCTTAATTGCATTATTTTCGATGCCATTTTTTTCCCACAAGAAGGAGTGAAAGAGAGAAACATTACGAGTGCCAATTAGTCACGGCATCACGGTAGTATCATCATCATCATCTTCTCGAAATATTTACAGATCAATGGCAAGCAGGTAACCACAAAAATGCATGCATACATATTCTTCTCCTTCTAACGGGTAGAAAGAAATGAGTTTAATGTGGCAAACGTGGAAAGAAATTAGTTCTTTTTTTTTATCGGTGAAATGAAATAAACGGAAATTCATATTTTAGTTAGTTCCCACTCGCCATATTAACCTAGATATCTTATTATTCATCGTTATTCACCCTTATCGGAATTTATGCTACTTATCATCGAGTGAAGATGAAGATGCCGATGCCGACGTGTAATTATACACATAAGAATAATTGCGGCATCAAAAGTGGAGAAGAAATTAGAAATTTGGTAGACTTGACATTTTATAATTTCTTGAACGTGCACCAACAACCAATTATGTCCCAAGGTGCCAGTGGCCGCGGAAGGCAGAGGGACAATGTCCCCACGGTTGTTCGATGTCGGCATCATCTTATATAAACCCGTCCCTTGTCCTCAATATCCTACAATGTTAATGTCCCCCCGCCTTCCTCCGGGGTGACTGCAAGGTGCATATTATTATTTACTCAAGGGCCCGTTATGGATGACTCGACAAGGAGAGGGAAAAAAATCTTGTAGAAAATCAAATGAAAATGAAAACGGACAGAAGCAGCAGCAACACCACTTTAAAGAAAACAGGAGTAACAATTATCTAGGAAATTGAGCCTGTCATCATTCGGAAACAGTGAAGTATAGTAAAGAAGACGTCACTTTAGATACTTTATCCTCTATTTTGTCTGAAACACCGGGTGGTAGAGAGAATCCTTGAAGTAAATCACCTATAAAAATTCCTTTTTTTCTTCTTCTTCTTATCAAAGATAAAATTTGTGTCGAGCTTGTTTTTTAAATCAACGCTTCAATCTTATTTCTACTTAAATTTGGTGCAAAGTTGTGTGTACTCTACTAAACAGGAATTAAAAATTAAGGGTGAAGATTAGATTAGGGGAGACGTAGACGATGATGATTGATGTTGAGCAAGCAAGTGTGCAGTGGCCGCGGAAGCTGTGGGGACATCTGGGGGAATTAAAATTACAAGTTAGTTAGGGGGAGGGGGGTTTGTATAAGATGGGGAGATGATGGGGACATCGAACAACCGTGGGGACATTGTCCCTCTGTCCCCTCACCCTTCCGCGGCCACTGAAAGTGTGAATACATCAACGCATGTATCTCAAGAAGATGAGTCCTTTTTTCCACCCCGATGTGGATTTTAAACAAACAAAGGCACACATTTTTTTCACAAAGATGAAATAAATGTGTAAGATTTATTATCTTCATTTTTTGAAGAGATAGATATTCATGTCAAAGTCAACAATACCATTTATTTCATTTCATCTTCTCAATAATATTTCTCTATTATTGCGAGACAGCGAGGCGACTTGACCAAGCGACCAAAATAACATGTAGACATTTCTTTAAAAAAAACTTTTTGATAAAAAGCGATAAGATAACCCCAACCATGACCACAAGACGGAGGGATGAAGTATAGATGGATGGATGGAAAAAATAAATTGGTTATTTAATCCTACTGCAACCACGGCATTTATGGCTTTATGGATTTTATGTGACGACATAAACCCAAATACTTTTTATGACTTTTGACTCAACCCATGAGAAGAAATAATAACTAACCAACGTCATAAATTATAGTGTGTGGTTGACAGAGCGGTACAAATTATTCGGCCTGGTCTGAAATTTCAAAGTGCAGTAGCCTTGCATCTACGGTAATATGTTTGTATTTGGTAGGTAGTAGGTGGACAAATTTTTCTGAGGAGAGGATCACTCACTCACTCATGCAGTGGCCGCGGAAGCCGGGGGTACATGTGGGGACATTAAGATTGTAGGATGGTTTATGTAAGATGGGGAGATGATGCGGACATCGAACAACCCTGGGGACATTGTCCCTCTGTCCCTTCACACTTCCGCGGTCACTGTTCTGGAATAATAATAGTCACCCTGATTTGAAGGATACTTTCGCAGGTGCACCGATTAAAAGGGATCCAGATCAACCCTTGATTCATTGACGTCTTATAATTCTCATCTTTTTTCCAGTCAGTCTCCAAAAGAAGTATGAAAGCTGTCAAAATTCAAAAATCTGTACATGCATAGGTCTGATTTATAGTCAACAACAATTGAAAAGTTGTGTGCTATTGTAGACCGGGTGAAATTAGTATGTGACGAAGGGAACTGAACATTTGGTTAGATGATGTTTATTCAACTAATCCTATGTCGTCTGACTGACTGAACACACAAAATTGGGATGGATGGAAACGTATAAAATTCAAGAGTGAATTAGCTGAAACCTCTTTTATTCCCAAGCTTACTTCCTGTCATGGTTTGGACTGGACGGGGGGATATTATTAGTCAGTGACCGCGGAAGCTTGAGAGGACAATGTCCCCACGGTTATTCGATGTCCTTATCATCTCCCCATCTTAAACCCGGCCCTCCCCTATCCTACAATGTTAATGTCCCCACAGCTTCCGCGGCCACTGTCAGTACCTTAGTACCCGTCAAATCATGCCTCCATTCACCGTGTCTTGCTTACCTTTTTTTGTACTTTACTTACTCACCAAACGTGACAGGTTCACTTGGAGGACACGACAAAACACAGGGAACGAAAGAAGAAAATAATCCAAAAACGGATTTTATCCTGAGCATTAAGCACTATTTGACTTGTTTCATTGTCCAGAAGTGCATATACATTATTTGAATAAAATAACAAATTATTATTTTACACATTTTTTCCCAACTAGCACCACACACTTGCTTCACCGAGATTCATTCAAATTACCCAAACGCAATAAGAAGATGAATAAATAAATAACAAACCCACCACAAAATTACAATGAGCAATACGAGTTGCGAAATCAAATTAAGGAAAAATTACTCTCTTCTGCTATCTCAAGGTAACTCTGCGATAATGATGAAATTCTCAATTTCTTCCATTCAACTCGAAGAAGCTTTTGCCACACACGATAAAATGGAAAATGGCAAGTGTATCTATGTAGATGCGTATACACATGAATCTCAATTTTACAACCAAATCTTTATTGCAAATAATAACGCTGCAAGTAGTAGTCGTCATCAAATCTGTGTTTTCCACCTCTTATAAATTAACGAGGCAATTATGGAACTTGGATGTTAAAGAGAGGTCCCATTTGGCAGGAATCAAATCAAGTGTGGCTTTCCTCCTCCTCCTCCTCCAAGTAATAAATAATTTGCTAAGAGTTAACTCACAGACAGAATCTAATAAATAAACCGTCGGAAATGCATCGAAAGTGTGACCATCTTCTATAAAATCTCACTTTCCCCCGAGAAGGGGTGCGGTCACACCCTCCTTATACTTGCCTAATAAACAGCAGCCGTGTTACTTGCATACTTTTAACAATTGCACCGCAATAACTATTCCATAACTCCAAGAGTTTACTACTTTGCCGTGGTTTTTCATGATCACAGTGGCCGCGGAAGCTTGAGGGGACAATGCCCCCACGATTGTTCGATGTCCGCATCATCTCCCCATCTTATACAAACCTGTCCCTCCCCCCATCCTACAATTTCAATGTCCCCACACCTTCCGCGGCCACTGCATCCCGCCTTGCCTAACATGACTCGCTTTAAACTCATTTTTACAATAATTATAAAATGCTGATTTCCGTTCATACCTCGAAGAAGAAGACGCATCAAAAAAATTATTTCATTTCATGCCGTTGTTACAGGATTTAATTAGGGTTAGGAAATAAAAAAAGTGCATTACGACGACTGGCTTGGCCTGCATCCATCCGTAAATAAATTGTGTGTGAACCAGGATTTCATATTTCTTGTGAGACTTATCTCCTCCTCAAGGCAAAAGGAATAATAATAAGTTGCACTTTTTATGATAAGTACTTAATAAATAAGTGATAGATACTGTTCCATGGCGTGGCTCCTCCGCCTCGTGTGAAACTGATGCATGCCTTTTCGTGCTCGAAATGGAAAGTGATTTCCGATTCCCTTGACACTTTCTTCCCACCAAAAAGTAAGTTTTTTAACACTTTTTTAAAAACTATTTTCATTACGTAACAGTCACGAAATGGGATAAAATAAATATGTAGTAGTCAGAATTTTAAAACGCAAATGTTTATCTTTTATGTTGCAAAGCGTCAAAAAGTTGGACGTTAAACCTTATACAATTTTGTCCTTTTAAGGATCATGAAAAAATTATATAAGCCTGCTTACACTCGAAATGCGCATTCATGAATATATAAACAAAAGT